GTGAGCTCCGTGCGCCCCGCGCCCCCGGCGCCCCGCTCCCCGCTCCCAGCGCAGCCGCGCGGGCCCGGAGCCCCCGGATTTACCTGGCTCTCTGGCGACTCTCCGGGAACGGTGGGGCCAGCCTCCTCGGGAGCGTCCAGCTCACATCGCTGCCTCCAGGCGGGGCGCCCAGCTTCTCGGGCCCCGCACTGCCCCCGCCCCCCACCCCCCGGCCCTCCGTCTAAAGTGTCACCGCGCTTCTGCTGCGGGTCTTTGGCAAAGTCTTGGCGTGGTCGCCAGGAGTTGGGCGGTGATGCCAGGCGCGCCACCCGCGTCGCTGCCCTGGCCCGCCCGGCCGCTGAGCGGAGCCTCTCGGACCGGTCACCGTCCTCTGAGCGACGCGCGCTGGCAGTGTCCCCTCCCTCGCGCCTCCCCTAGCCCGAGTGGCTGCCGCCTGCCTGCGCCTCGGGTCCTCATTCCCCGGCTCATGAATATTCGTACAGAGGCCAATGCCGTGGAAGTAAATTGAATTAGCCAATTGGTGCCAGGAATGTGCCCCTTTCCTACAGAGGAGCGGTCTGGAACCCCACTAGATGAAGGCAATTAGCGTCTGCTTGGCACCCTGTGGTTTAGAGCAGTGAGGGGCAAAATGGGTTAATTCTTTAAATGCAGTTTAGATCCCTCATTTAAATGTTTCATCTCTTCCATTGGCTGGAGAGTGAGGAAGTGTTGAGAGGAGAGTGAAGGAAGGGGATAGGTGGGTGTGCTGCGAGGCGTATTTGCACCCAAACTCCCCAGGAAGTTGAGGTGACTTCATCTGCCTATATTCTGGATTCTGGAAGCAGAAACTGTGAGGACAGACATGAGAAGTAAATAGAATCAGGAGATGAGGAGCAACACAGCTTAACCTTGACCTTGACAATGCAAAACATTCTCATTTAGACTTGGGGTGAGCTCAGAGCCCATCACTTTCAAAGAAGTTCTGTGTCCTTTCTTCTTTGTGATCACATCTGAACCACAGAGTTCTGTGGGGTTAGTGGGGTGGGGCCAGAATGGACCCTAAAAGTCGGCTTCACAGTTGGAAACTGAGACCCCTTGCTAGGTCAAGGGAGTCCCCCCAAAATTCATAGAAACTCTGGCAGGGTATAGAACATGGTACACACGTGGAAAATATTTGTTGAATAAATATCAAAAGCATTTAAAAACAAAACAAACACGTGTAAGATTTTTCCAGGCCTCTGTTGGGCAGCTGTGAATCAGAATCAACATGCTGGAAGTGGGGCTAGTTTGGGGACTTTGGGTACAGGAGTCTTTTTCAGGGATTAGGTTAACCATTAAGACATTAAGGAAAAGGTTGGTAGTTGAAACCTCCCCATCACTCCCTGGATGAGGAGACCTAACAGTCCATTTCTGTTACAGTCTTGGAAAGTGAGTGCGCTGTTCCACTCTGCCCTGTGGGCTCACTACTCGTCCTAATCAAGGGTGACTGCGACAAAAGGTTATTTTTATTATTAAGATTAGAAAGATATCTATTTCTTCAGAATAGTGTGTGTGTGTGTGTGTGCGTGCGTGCGCGCGCACGCGTGTGGCTGAGATAGCATTAGATTGTAGTAAAATTCTTGTCTTTGAAGTTTGGATTGCAGCTGAGTTCTAGATCATCTTGTCCTTGTAGGGTGCTACCACCTCTTTCTCATGGTGACTCAATGCATGTGGTGCAAGCACTTGGTGGAAGCAGCACTGTCTCATCCAGCACTGTCTTCAATCTCTGATGTGTTTATGCTGGAGCAATGCCTCCCTAATACATGGGTATAGTATCCATGACATAGATAGGGAGCTCAGGTGGTGAAGTCAGTGGAGAATCGCACTTCTAATCCAAAGGCCACACTTCTTTGGTGGTTTGGGTCTGCCAGCAACTCCATGGGAGAAAGGCGGGCAGTCTCCTCCCTGGTGATTTATAGTGCTGGAAACCCAAGGGAGGGTCAGCTGGGAGTTGGAACCAACTTTACAACAATGACTAAGTAAAATAACATAAATACTTTATAGGAGAGGAGAATTTGTAGTATTGCTATTTCCAAGGCAGTTACTAACTGTTAACTATCCTGGTGAGATGGTGCTTGATGTGTCTTGCTGCTAATGGAAAGGTCGTTGGTACAAATCCACCAATTGAAAAAAAAAATCCTAACCATAACCCCAAACCTTACCCTAACCCTCACCCTCACCCTAACCCTAACCCTAACACTAGTCGAAGATCTAGGTTAAGCCCTAGCCCTAACCCTAAGCCTAACCCTAAACCTAACCCTAACCCTTAAAAAAAAACAAAAACAAAAATCCACCAACTGCTCCCTTCAGAGAAAAGTAGGCAGTCACTCACCTCCTGTAAGATTTACAGTCTCAGAAGTCTGATAGAGGCTCATTATGTGTCAGAATCAACATGATAGCAGTGCTTAGATTGTTTTTTTCCTTTTTTACTAAATACATGCACACGTGTATTGGGATGTTTTCTATTGAAGTTCACAGTTACACCACTTAAAACAGTGAGGCATCTGCCACAGTTTATTCTCAGAGACTTTGGGCAGTGATCCCTATAATCATAAATACATGAGATTTTTTTCTCATCCTGATTCCCTCTTAACCATAGAGATTCTTCCTTTTAATCAACAAAGTATCTTTTGGATATAAGAGCCCAGGTGATATTAGATGCATCGAATCCAATATGACCAATAGCGAGCCTGTGAGCAACAGGGAAGATGGATCATGGACGTCCTGAAACATGGGCTTGGTGACAGAAACAAAACTAGAGATAGAATGACAGAGTTTTATACGATGATTTATTCATTGCAAATACCTCTAATAAGGGGCAGCCAATGGCCTTTAACAAATGGCGACTACACACGTGGACTTCACCTGATGGCCTTTACAGAATTAAACTGATGTGTGAAAGAATTGTTGCAGACACTCAATATCAGCTGTGAAACTAGGCCAGGTGCTGATTGTGGAGCAGACCATCAACTACTTATAGCTGAAGCTAAAGAAAATGAAATCAAATGCACAAGAACCAAAATTTTACTTTGAGTCTCTCCCACCTGAATTTAAAAACCATCTCAGGAAAAGGTTTGAGGTCTTAAACACTAACGAATGCAGATCAGTTCTCTTTATGTCACCTTTATTCATTGTCCAGCTCTCAGACTCATAGCAAATGGTTGAAAAGACCATGGTCTGAATCAGGTGCGCCTTAGTCCTCAAACCAGGTGGTAGAGTTTACAACCAATTGAACCAATAACCAAAAGATCAACAGTTCTAAGCCACTGGTGGTTCCGCTGGAGAAAGATGGGCAAGCTTCTCCCTAAAAGATTTGCAACCTTGGAAACACAATGGAGTGTCAATATACGTGGAAACGGACTCACTAACTGTGGCTTTAGTTTTAGGATTTAGAAAGAGCATTTCTTGAGAAAGTCTTCAAATATCAGAGCACTTAACGGACCTAAGCATGCTCTCTTGATTTTAGATGGGTAGATGACCATTATAAAGCTAACTTGTCCCAAAAGGTTGTAATTGGCTTTACTACCCGAAGTAGGTCTTTATGCCATTCTTCGTAGTCTGTCTTACAAAGGAAGCTCTGACGGAACTCATTCGACATAGACGACCCCATTGGCATGTGAACCCCTGGTGGGACAGTTTCTTGTATCACGGCAATAGCCATGCTAAAACCATGAGATAATGACAGCATGACCAGCCGGCGTATGACAAGCTGGTGGACACATGGCGGTGGAATCCATGGAAGCATCAGGATGAAGAGTCAGTCACCCTATTTCCTCCACAGTCTCACTGGGCAGCTTGGTGGGAGGGCAGCTGGAGTCAGAGGTGGAACAGTCATTCTCAGGGACAAGACGTCCACCTTCAGAGTAAAGCAAATTAGCACCTCGGCCAAATAGCAATACCCCCTTAGAATATTGGGTGCTTTCCCATTTTCAAACTGCTTTTTCATTTGCTTTCTCATTCTATCCTCCAGGCAGCTTTATACCTTCAGCATTATTGTCCCTATCTCATTGAGGAGGAATCTCGAGCTCATTGCCATTCCGCATTGCTCAGAGCCTCTCCAAGAAAGGAATTGAGAAAGAACTTGAATCTAGTCCCAAAGCCACTTCCCCTGTCTTGCCCACCTCTCTCCCCTCCTTATTTTTCTTTCTGTAGAAATGAAAGCCCTTCCTTTTTTGGTTCCTGAAGACTTCTAAGACACATAAAGAAATCATTAGAACATACTGTGTTGTCACCCCCACCAACCAAAAGCAAGCTAGAGTCAAAACCCTTATCATCTTCAATTCAGTCTCCCCAGAATCTAGCCTCTTGCAGAGTGTGTGGGAGACACCCAGGAACCCCCCACTTTCACATCAGCTCCGTTGTGGTAAGGTATTCTGGTGACTTTTCTCGGTGATTAGGACTAAAAGAAATAGTTGGTAGGCACCACGGTTGGTTAAAAGTACCTTGCGATAGTATTACATAATTATTACTACTAAAGTATATTATTAATATGAAAAATAGATTCAGGAAGAAATAAATTTAGTCTTGACTTTCAACTCATAAATTCTATGAGCAAGAAGGCAGTTTGATTTTGATCCTAACACCCCTCCCCATGTCTAGTTTTATTATTAAGGTCATGGAAAAATAACACTTGCCCAAATTATAGTCACCTGGTTAATAGTAGGACTAACCTGGCCCATTAAGCAGGAAGATAAGAGTGTGGGAAAGGTGAGCGAGTGTGTGTGTGTGTGTGTGTGTGTGCACGCGTGTGTGCGTGTGTGTGCGTGCGTATGCTAACCCTCCAGTTCTGGAGAGTTTTCTGTGAATAAACAGCCTGCGATGCTGGTTCAAGTGGTATTTCTCTACGGAAGAGGCCTTTCTCCTGGGCAGTGATTTTTTACCAGGATCCCTCAAGATCACAGAGTTAATGACTGAGCTGGAACTCTTGACCTTGGTCCAATGCTGCTTCCCCCCGCCCCTTCCCCTTGACCCTGATTGACAGCCAGGTCCCCTGTGGGATGGTGTTTGGTTTTATGACTGAGATGAGAGAGAAACAGCTCAATACCTCCTTACTGGTCACCTGAGTCAGCTAATACTCTTCTGATGAAATTGCTCACCTAGATCACTCGGCATTATCCAGCCAAGATCTTTTTGGATTTGTGATGGTAATTATTTAGTAGAACCGATGGCAATGGCACACTGAAAACACTTTACTGGCTCCAGAGCCTGCATTTTCTTTAACTCTGCAATGCTATATGGCGTTTTGGATTTTTAAAGAAACACACAAATACACTCACAAACTCAGGAATTCCTGTTGATGTACAGGTTCTCTCATTTCTGTAGTAATAACGGACAATTCAGGCCATGTTCCCACACCGGCACAGAGAAGGCCGTTTGCGGTGTTGGCTTATCTAGGTTTTTTTGTTTTTCTCCACTGTGTAGAGACAGTCCTTTGACTTCCTGGGTTACTCGGTAATTTGCAGAAAGAACCACCTCTCTCTCTGCTGGTGCCTGTCAATTCCTGTCCATGTTTCCTTGCATTTCTTAGCTTAATGGAGAAAAATGTCTCTCAGCACCATCACCTCCAAGATCAACTTGTCGTGGAGACACACAGTGCTTGTGACAATGTTCTGCAAGTTGTCACTACACATCTATTGAGTTGAAATTGAACAGACTTGAGTCTGGTCTCCTGACTATGACCAGCTGTGTGTCAGCTACTGTAGATGTTTCAAAGAGAGAAGAAACAATGACTGCTCTCAAGGAGTTTATAATCAAAGGAGGGGGGTTTTAATATTTAGTCAAGGAGACAATCCAAGACAGATAGATGTTGATGCTTTCTCTGAAAAGATGA